CTGAGGAGAACTGGAGACTGAACCTCGGGAGGATTTGCTGCACCATATGGGACTAGGAGAGTGTGATCGTGCGAGCGGCACGGTCATGAGAGATCTCCAAGCCCAGATAGCGCCTCAACTCCCCTAAGTCTGTACAAGTGTGTCTCCTAAGCAATTCGGCCTTCACTAAGGCCAGTGCGACTCTGTCAGGAGTAGCAAAGATAAGATCGTCTACGTATACTAGGATGTAGAACGGGGTCTGACCCGAGCGAACATAAAGAGGGGGGTCAACAGAGGACGGAAAGAACTACAACTCAGCAAGAGTGGTACGAAGCGTGTCATGACATTCACGAGGTGCCTGACGAAGGCCGTAGACAAGGCGGCGCAGGCTCCATTGGGTACCACGTGGGAAGGGCCTAGAGAAGCCTAGTGGGCATTAGAGGTAGATGTGCTTGTGCAGACTACCCTGCAGGAACGCTGTGGAGAAGTCGAGTGAGTGAAGCTTGTAGTCACGCTTCACAGCTATGTGGGGAAGGACCCGAAGAATAGTCACCTTCGGGGTCGGGGAGAAGGTCTGGAAGAAGTCCACACCCTCACGCTCACTTAAGCCTCAAGCCACGTAATGTGTCTTGAACTTTGGTGGCTCTCCAGGTGCGCACTTCACCTTGTAGATCCACATGCCATCGACTACGTTCGCCCCAGGCGGGGGAACTGCGTCGACGTAAGTGCAAGTGGATCTGTAGGATGCCATTTCAGCTGCTCAGGGCCCCAATACCGCCTCAGCGTAAGAGCTCAGAACAGGGATGTCGAGAGCATATGTGTCGCTCTTTGGGGATACAAGCATGGAGCAGAGATGGGGAACAACGACAGCAAGGTAGGCCAACTCGTACTGCCTGTCCTCTAGCATGTCATTGCCAAGGGCAGGTGCACCCCCGATGGACGGAGGACGGGCAGTACCAGAGACCAGAGCGGTAGCGTAGTCAAGGCGGTGGCTAGTAGCAAAGTTAATGACAGCAGCGACAAGAGCAGAGACAGACTCAGGAGGGGCAGAAGTGTCAATGACAAGCGATGCAAGCAAGCGCGAAAGGGTGGGACGAGCAGTACGAGCAGCGTCTGAGCGAGGAGGGGGGGACTGTGGGAGCGATGACGGAGGAGGTAGCGGAAGCACAGGGACTGGAGAAGCATGACAACGGAGGAGCATAGGGTGGACACTATGACGGGGAGAGACAGGACGAGCACCAGAGGGGCGGCGGACCCAGTGGGAAAGAACTGGGGACTGGGGATGAGGGGGAATGGGGGTCAAGTAAGGGGACAGAGGGGAGCGTGGGGGAAAACGAGTTAGAGAGGTGTCCGGAGGAGGGAACAACGGGTCATAAACAGGGTCACGCATCGAAGGGGGAACGAGCGGGTGGACAGGGGAACTTGGAGCAAGACCAAGGAGACGAAGGGCAGACCGCGGCTGCCTTTGCGCCAGCGGCTGCGCCTGCTGCTGCTGCGGTAGCTCCCTGTCCTCTCCAGGACCTCCAGTGGCACAGCGGCTGCCATCGGCACTTCTTGAAACAGCAACCCCAAGACTAGCACCCTCGGATGCACCGCCCACAGAATCAGCACCCTCGGAGTCAGCACCCCCAGAACTCGCACCCCCAGAACTCGCACCCCCAGAACTCGCACCCCCAGAACCAGCATCCCGAGACTCAGCACCCCCATAACTTGCACCCCCAGAACCAGCACTCCCAACACCAACTCCTCCAACACCATCACCCCTAATACCAACACCCCCAACACCAATACCCCTGAACCAACACCCCGAAAGCCCACTGCTCCCTGCTGCTGCTGCGGTCGCTGAGTCTGCTGCGGCAACGGCTGGTGCTGCATAGGCAAGGGAGGAAGCGGCTGAGGTGCCTAGGGTACCGAGGCTGGGGGAGGCGCCACAGGGACAGCAGGTGCACCCCCAAGAGCTGGGTCCCTAGAGTCAGCCGACTACCCCACGAGCCCAATCAAGGGGAACAAGGTGGCGTGGGAGACACTAGACTGGGCCGGGCGGGGAGGGAGGGGTGCGGTAAGCAGTGCAGGGACAAGGAAGAGGGGAGGAGGAGGCACAGGAGCGTTGCAGTGCAGGAAGCGCCGGTAGTAGGGGAGCGTCTCATCGAACGTAACGTCAGGAGAGCGGTAAAGGTGGTTGTGTGCCAGGTGGTAGAACAGCCAGTCTGGGGTGTCAAGCGGAAACCCCAGGAAGACGCAAGGAAGGGTGCAGGTTGAGAGCTTGTCCACGCCAGTGTCGCGAACATGAGCAAGGCTGCCCCCGACGAGGAACGCAGATGCGTCATTAGGAAACCAGGTCCAGAGAAGGGTCGGCGAAACCTGTGGCCGCTGGGAGCTAGGCCACAGGTTATGCTGGTGAGCAGCGTAGCGCACAGCCAACGGCCACAGAAAATGGGGTGCACCGGCGTGGACCATGGAGGTGCGGGCTACCTCCATGACGAGGCTGATGCATCGCTAAGCGACCCCATTCTGCTGTGGGGTGTCTGGTAGTTTGTACGTCTTGCGGATGCCCGCCGCACGACAGAACTGTGTAAGAGTGCCAGAGGCAAACTCGCCACCATGGTCAGAGTGCAAGCAACCTACGGGTAAGCGGTAGTGGGTGCAAACAGCAAGAAGTCACAGGAAGAGAACGGTAGGCACATCGGTCTTCAATGATGACTAGGAAGTAATGCTCCCGACTAAGACCATGGACCGGGGCAGGGCCCCAGACGTCCATGTGCAGTGTCTCTAGCGGTGTTGTGGTAGGAGGAAATGAGGAGGAGTGAGGGGTGGCGCGCTCCGGACCTCAACATAGGAGGTGCACAGGGGCACTATCGATGGAGGCAGTGCGGGGAGTGATGCAGGAAGGCTAGTGACTAGACCGTGCTGGGACATGTGCCTAAGTCGCGGGAGTGCAGGGTGACCTAAGCGGTGGTGCCACAGAAGGGTCAGGTGGGTTGGTAAGCAACAAGAGCGAGACGCGATGACCTTGGCAGACACAGCAGCCAGCGGGGACTCGGTGTGCAATGTCAAGAGACCTGACCCTGAGTCACGCTCAAAAGCGGTTAAGTGTTGACCGGTGGCCGTGTCTGTGCACACAGCGTGTCTCTCGCGGCAAGGGAACGTAGTGGTGACACCTCGGTCTTGGAGGTGACCGACACCCACTAGGTTCCTAGCAAGCGAGGGGATGTGCAGACCATAGAGGGGGCCGGAGAGGACAGCTGGACAGGGGAGTGTGGTGGTGCTACATGCAACAGTTGTGGCGGAGGAGCCTGTTAGTGCGACGCGGACAGGCGCAGGAAGCGGGGTGAGAGCATTACTATCTCAGAAAAAGCACCGAGACGCGCCAGAGTCTAGGACAAAGGAGAGGGCCGATGTGGCGGGGCCCAATGAAGAGTCTCAAACAGGTCCTACGCCTGACGCAGCAGGGGAGTCTAAACTACACACAGCAATAGCTCCAAGGCTACAAACAATAGGATAATAAGAACTAGCAACACTAGAAGCATCAGAATACAAAGAATACAAGGCATGATCGATCTGAATCATATCCATATCAAAGATAGGAGCTCTACGACAAAGCAAGACAGGCCAGGGGGATACCTGCATCAGCGGGCCAAACTTACGACGGTAAAGGTCGTCCAGGTAGCGGAAGCAGCAAGCAACGGTGTGCCCTGTGCTCCCGCACATCTAGCCCGCCTGCGAGCCAGACAGCAGCTGGTACGTGCAGGTCACCACTCCACCAGAACCACCAGCACCCTGACTTACAGAAGAGCCAGGCGACCCCCAGAGCACCGACTGCCTTGGGCCCCAACCTCTGCAGCCTCCACCAAGACCACCACCCCCAGGGCCCGCCGGCCCCTACGGCAGCTGCGGGTGCTGCTGCTACTGCTGCACAGTCCCCGACTCCGACTGACCACCCTCTCCGTCCGCACTCGCACCCTCTCCACCTTGCTGCTGCCGACCCCCCATGACCCTTGCCTCCCTTGCCCTTGCCCTTGCCGCCAGAGGAGTGGCCGGGGGCAGAGGCAGCCACTGTTGTCTCGATTACAGAGGCGGAGGCAGGGACAGTCACTGGGGAGGGAGCGCTGCCATGAAAGATAGCGACTAGCTATGGCGCCAGTGGAACCAGCGATGGCGCGGAGGCGGTCCTCTATCTCAGTCACGGAGGTCGAGAAGAGGTCAAGGGTGAGCTCAGAAGGGTGACGAGTGAGGAGCGTGTTGCGAGCAGGGGCAAGGCGGTCAGGGAGGCGGGTGACAAGGAAGTAGATAGTGGTGAAGACGGGGGGCGAGGAAAGTGCCAACTGGGCCTCGGTTTAGTCCGCACACCAGCGCGCATTGAGGGAGCAGAGGTGCTCAACTAAGTCTGCTACAGTGTTTAAGGACGTCAGGTTGGGGTGGAAGAAAGGGAGGAGGAGACGACCAAGAGTGATAGACGACGGTGTGGAGTACCTAACGAGGATAGCCAGCCAGAGGGCGCGGGCTGACGCGACACCCACAAAGTGGGAGTGCTCGTCAACCGGCAGGCACATGAGGATGGCGACACGAGTAGTGGCATTGCGAGATGCCCAGACAGAGTAGGCAATAAGAGCAGCAGTGTGCACAGCCTGCTGCGCAAATGTCGCGTCAGCAGCAAGAGCGCTCGGGTTGGGGACTGGAGGGAGCTCACCAGTAACGTGGGCGTCCAGGGACCCGTCATCGACGTGCTGGCTCATGAGCTTTAGGAGAACTACCTCCTGCCACGTGGCAAAACCGACCGCCTGCCCCTCCCCATCCAGGCATAGAACGAAGACGCTGGGCGGCGCCATGCTAGCAAGTGTGGCTGTGGTCGTGAAGACGGAGGTGACAGAGGCAGAGACAACGGCGACAAATGCTATAGGGACAGCGGGAACAGGTGCTGCAGTGGGAGCTGATGACAGAAGCGGCTGCGAGCTGGTGGTAGGGTGGTGATGGCGGCGAGCCAACGGCGTGCTGGCTGGCAGCGGCAACCGCGCGGCTGCAGGCTAGCCATGGGAGCGGTGGCAAAAGCGGCCGCAATTGGCGGCAATGGCGGCAGCGACTATGGCAGTGGCAGTGGCGGCAGTGCAAGTGGCAGCAGCGGCAGCGCAAGTGGCGGCAGCGGCAGCCGCAGCAGCGGCAGTGGCGGCAACGACTACGGCAGTAGCAGCGGCGGCAGCGCAATTGGCGGCAGTCGCAGCCGCAGCAGCGGCAGTGGCGCCAGTGGCAGCGGCGGCAGCGCAAGTGGCGGCAGTGGCAGCCGCAGCAGCGGCAGTGGCGGCAGCGGCTGCGGCAGTGGCAGCGGCGGCAGTGCAAGTGGCGGCGGCAGCGCAAGCGGCGGCGAGCTGGCGGACGCGGCTGGTGACGAGCTGGCGAGCTCTGCTGGCGGCGAGCAGGCGAGAGAAAAAGGAAATTCGTGCATGGTAGCTTTTCCTTCGGAAAAGCTTCGGAAGGCTCAGAGAAAAAGGGATATTTGTGTGACGCACGAAAATGTGACGGAAGGGACACATTACAGGTTTAGAAATGTGACTTTTGGTGACTTGGACCAATGTGCCAAGCACGACAGACCATGAGGGCAACAAATTTGCAGCCACACTTCCTATTGGAAACGTGGCTCGCACAAAAATGTTCACCTCGCCCAAAAATGTGCCGAATTGCTTCTACACCGCGTCAGCTAGTTTTCCTCGCCCAAAAATGTACCCAATGTTTCGAGGCGTGATCGGGCGGTCAAAGGCGTTTCAGATTGGTTCTGCTTACTGTGACGTGAACTCGGGTCCAGTGAAGTTGACGAAGCAACAGTCGAAAACAAAACAGTTCGTGACTGCTTGCGAAATACCAACGAACTCGACGATCTGTAAATGTAAAATCTGGCACACAAGTTCAGTGACACCATAAGGGAAACGAGAACCACCAAGACACGTCACCGCCAACCGAGTTATACCACTGGATGACGACAACAATTAACGAAAAGAGGTGCTGGCGAAGAGTTCAACGACTAGTTTTGGGGGTTGGGGGTGGGGGGGAGACTTGCTAACACTCAGAAAATGCATGACATGTCACGCATCATCCTAACCAGGCGTGCACCCACCAATTGCATACACTACGAAATTGGGCAGGCCAATCATCACTCTGGCTTATCCTTACGCCAGCACACCCAAAAAAAACCTGCCGACCACCTCCCAGTCCCCAACTGAGGCTCCCTTCCCCAACCGTACTCGCTCAACCCCTTCCCTTATCTTCCTATTCTCAATCTGCTTGATGGTTTTGCTCGACCTCCGAATAGCTGTCTTTTGCACCCGGCTATCGTTTCATTCTCTCTCGTTCTCCCCTACACTATCTTGCATTTATCGCTCGTATGCCCTTTATAACACCTTTTTTTTTTTTTGCCTCTTGTCTCTTGTGCTTTTGTTTGTATTATCTCACGCTCTTTGCTCGTTCCTCATTTTTCCGTGGCGCGTTTCTCTCCTTGCGACGGTTTGTATTGCTAAGTTTCCATCCCTTTTTTCCTTTTCTTTTTGCAACTGGTTTTGTCATTTCTATCGTCTGTCTGTTTCCGTACAGAATATGAGAGAGGGTTGTTCTAGGGTGCTGCTGGCGGTATCGACCACTATGGTGGCTGCAACAATAATAGCGACGGAATTAGTACAAACACTGGCTGGTATTGTCCTGTCGTTCCATGAACTCTCTTGTCCGCTATGTTCATTGCTGTTTCAAGAACGACTAACTTTGCAGATATGTGCAACACGGAATGCTTAGCAGCAAGAAGGAAGGTATGTGCTTGTTCGCGAATACGAATTGGCTTTTGCTTGCTTTCACTGACAAATATGTTTTTGCTTGTGCAAGGATTTTTTTATTATTGTTTTTTATCAAGACATGGTAAAACCATATACTTGAGGTAAAATACCTCAAGTATATGGTTTTACCTCAAGTATATGGTAAAATACATTTTATATGGCTCTGGAGTGTATTGCGTGTGTATAAATATGAGGTGCATTAAACCAAGCTAGACTAATGAAGTGCATTATAATACATTTGCCCACTGTAGATAATGAATGAGAGTGTTAGGACAGGCGAGGTTCCCATATACTTGAGGTAAAACCATATTATCAGGTTGTTTGATCGAGCTTGTTGCTTCATCGTCGTCGTCTAATTCAGTATCTGAATCTGGGACATGGATGCATGCTGAGCTGAGCATGTGTTTGCCTGATGTGGCAGGAGTGGTTGCTAACGAAATCTGGTTCACGAATTGCTTGGGCTGCTGCGACGGCTGCCGCACTCCTCTTTTTTTATCAGCCTGAAGCTTGTCACAGTATTTGATGCTACCATCCTTTTTGCAGTAGTGACAGAAAATCTTGTTGACACGTTTTGCCAGTCAAGATCATACTGTTCCTCTTGAACAATTGAGCAAATTTCAGCTTCAGAAAGATTGGGTTGAATTCGAAAAAGAGATCGATACTACCGCCACGCTGGTCCAAGTCCGGCAAGAAGGAGGGATATTGACATGTCATTTGGGAAGTACTGTATCCGCCGCATTTTCGATTTGGTGTCAAAGTGTTCGAGCTCTGTTGACATAATCTGTAACATTTTTGTTGTCCTGCATCTGCACAGTTCTTAGTTGTGAGAGTATTTTACTCACAAAAATGGTATCATGTGCCATATATAATCCCTTCAAATGCTTCCATGCATATTCAGCTGGAGTCAAGCGGGTATGAAGAGAGCGTATGCCGAGCTGCTCTTTCAGCGACAAAATTCGGATGAGGACTGTATTGGCGCTGAGTGAAGAATGAACAAAAATCTACTGTTCCATCTGCGTTCCCCTGACAGGATACGGATAATCGCTGTTGAAGAAAGGTCTTAATCCAGCAGATTTCGCAAGGAGCTCAAATTCGAAACTCCAAGAGTAGAAGTCAGCGCCATTAAAAGGTATTGTCGTCTGGATCTGTGTGTTACTCAAAAGATTCGGAGCCTGAAAAATAGGTCCAGTGAAGCCAATTGCTGCGGAAATTGTTGTGGCTGTTGCTGTTGCTGGTATCAAGGCTGCTGTTGAAATACTTGTGGCTGTTTCTGTTGCTGGTATTAAGATTGCTGCTGAAACTATTGCTGTGCTTGTTGTTGTTGTTGCAAAAATTGTAACTGCTATTGTTGTGCAGGTGTAAACGCGAACGAAGAACCGGAGCTTGGAGCAGTCAAATGTCTTGCATAACTAGGTCCATCAAGACTCATGCCACTAAAGGCCGCTGTTACAGATGCTGCTACTTGAGGCGGTGGTACTTTGTTGCTGTGATTTTTGTTGCGGTGTTGCAGGTGTAGAGGAGGAAGTCCTCAGTGGATGCACAGCAGGCAACCCTTGCTGCTGTTGAGGCATCCCAATTGAAGCATATGCAGCTGGAAACATTCCAAGTACAGTATCATCTGCTTGTCCTGTAAAAACTGTAGGGTTGGTAACTCCAATTGGTCCAGTTGTTGAAGAATCGGCAGTTGAAGTCGATGCTGGTCCAGTCATTTGTAGAGTTGATGATAGTCTTAATGTTGTGTGATGTCATCATATGTTATCACATTCTGTCTGCCTCCCATCCCTTGTTTCAATTCGCACGTATGGTTTGACTGTGTGTGAAAGAATTTGTGTGGTGTGTGTTCTGGAGTTTGGGAATGTGTTTTGTGTTATTCTGTCTGAGCAGGTATTTGTGATGATAGATCTTGAGAAGATCTTTCCGACGCAACAAGAATCGCGTCAATCGGAGCAAGAACGCGAAAGCTATGAAGATTCAAAGTTCATGAGCTTGCGTTACAATTGCGGCGGTTACAAAGTGAAGTTGTGGGGTGACTTTATATGGAGTTGGGACCTTTGGGGTTGGGGAAATTCGTCACTCTACTGTAACAGCTGCAAATTGGTTGGGAACAACCAAGCTAGGTTGGCAAGGGTGGCCAACTTGGATGGATTGGTTGGGAAGGGACAAATGTCAAAGTTGGGGTTCCTATAGGGAGGGAATCTTTGTGCTTATGGGGTTTCCTTGGTTGGGGACTCTCTTGGGACCTTCCCTCTCATCCCTCTCTTCTATCCCAACCTTTCTCTTGCTCCTCTAAATTCCTTGTGAGATTCTTGAACTTTGATTGAACTCTTGAGATTGAGTTAAGTTCTCCTCCTACAGCTTACCCCCTAGTGCGTCGAAAGCCATAGCGTCGCGAATACTTCATCAATCAACGTGATTCAAATTGGGAACGGTAGCTGAGATCAAGAGCTACAACATATCCAAGTTTCGCGACATTCCAACGGCTAGTGTTTTGTCGACGTCGTTTCTTGTGAAGACGACTTTTCTGTCCAGAATTTCGGATTTATATTTTGAGTAATTCTAGCTCCTAAGTTCACCTAGACTCTGTCCTTAATCCTAACAAGTGGTATCAGAGCGATATTAAGGACATTGAGAGGAGTCTACAGAAGTGTGAAGACCCTTCTAGACCCACCATGGCCTGTGGGTGTGCCTAAGTGGTGTTCTAAAGGTTGGATGTGTCTTCCGCTAAGGGGAAACTCTGCCGAAATTTCGTGGACGCCGACACTTGTGAAAATATCGAGGGAGCTGAGTGTGGACAGCAAAGGGGAGCTGAAATTCGTCATTTCTCAAGGAGAAGATGAATGAGAGAGGAGGAGATGCTAATGGAAGAGGAGCTGTAGCTGAGAAGACAAGTGAGCCGCCGCCATCAAAAGTTGAAGCTTTGGATGGCTCCAACTATGAGGAATGGAGCGGACGGATGAGGAGTGCCTTCAAACGCTACAAGCTCCTGAAGATTGCTGTTGGGGAAGAGAAGATGCCGGAAGAAGGCGAAGCACGTGAACGGTGGATTGAGAAAAGCGCGGTGCTTTTCGACCTCATTCTTCAATCGGTCAACAAGGAGATGTTCGAGCACATCAAGGATCTTGTGGAAGCGGATGATTCGGGTCCAAGGGCGTGGAAACTACTACGTGATGTGGTTCAGCCCAACACTCTCCCGATGGTGATCGTGCTCGAGAAGGAACTTGCTGCCATCTCCATGCGACCAGGGGACGATGTGAAGCCGGTCCTTGACAAGATCAAGGACACCTATGCAAGGATGGCAGCAGCGGGCAGCAGTGTATCTCAGCTGCAGCAGTGCACCAAGATCATCTCGGTGTTGGACAACTCGTGGGATAACCTCATCCCCACCCTCAACTCTCAGCAAGATCAATGGACACCTGAGTGGCTAAGGCAGCAGATTCTGCAGGAGGACTTCCGCAGACGCCATGTGGGAGGCGGTGCTGCCACTAAGACTGCTGAGGGGTATGGAGCTGCAGGGCGCGGCAGAGGAAGAGGGGGTTGGAAAGGCCGAGGCCGTGGGAGGAGCTTTGGCAGAGGTAGAGGCCGAGGTGACTATAATGAGGGGCATGGGAGCTCTAGTGGCAGGGGGAGTACCAGAATGGAGGGCACGTGCTGGTACTGCAAGAAGGTTGGGCATCCTTGGTTCAAGTGCTTCAGCAGGCTGGAGGGATGGGCACCTCCAGGCATGAAGCCGCCCAGTGGTGAACGCGCACAAGGTGGCGCTGTGCAAGGCTCAGGTGCACAAGGTGAAGGTGCACAAGGTAATGCCTATCCTGGTTTGTTTCTTATGGTTGAGGATGTGCATGGGCATGAGGGTGATGTGGGATTTGTGGGAAAGGTTGTGATGCACCCTCTCACGCACTGGGTGATTGATTCGGGTTGCACCAGTCACATGACCCCACGGGCAGATTTGCTTGATGAGGTAAAACCCCCTGGGAAGATTAAGTATGTGGCAGCAGCGTCAGGTGCTTTGCTCCCCGTGATTGGTGTTGGGAATGCCAAGGTTAAGGGAGCTAATGGGGAGCTTGTGGGGCTTGGGAATGTTCTGCTGGTTAAAGGCTTGTCTGCTAACCTTCTCTCTGTGCGGCGGCTGCAGAAGAGTAAGGCCGAAGTGACCTTTGGACCAACCAGCTGCCGTGCTAAGCTTGGGAAGAAGGTGCTGTGGAGTCTGGAAGAGGAGACCAGCTGCATCAAGGACCTGTGGCAGCTGCCCATCATCCCTTGGAATGGGAAGACTCCAACAGCAGCAACGGCAGCAGCGGCAAAGGCAACAGCAGGAGGAGATGCAACTGCACCAACTGATGGGGTGCTGGAAGCAGTCAAGAAAGTGCAGAAGCAGCAGACACATGGTGAGGTGCTTGCTGGTGTGGATGCGAGTGCGGCATGGGCTAAGGCTTCATCAAGGAGTGGAGAGGCCGATTGGGAGACATGGCATGAGAGGTTGTGTCATGTGAACTTCCCTATGCTGCAGAAGTTGGTGAAGAATGGGAGCCTGAAGGGCTTGGAGGTGAAAGGGGAAGTGAAGGAGATTGGGAGCTGCCCTACATGCTTGGAGACCAAGTTCTCCAAGTTCCCCTTCAACAGCACTACAGGACCAGCCAAGACCCCACTTGCACTTGTGCACATGGATGTGGTGGGGCCCACAAGAGCCCCTTCCCTCTCAGGCAGCCGCTATTTCTTGACAATTGTGGATGACCACACTCGAGCAGTGTGGGTTTACCCTTTGAACAGCAAGGGGGAGGTGGCAGCGGCTGTCCTTAAGGAGTGGATGCCGAGAGCTCAGAGGGAATGCGGACACAAGGTGAAGGTGATCCGTAGTGACAATGGTGGGGAGTTCATTGGAGCTGATTTTGAGGGGGAGTTGAAGAGGAAGGGGATCCAGCATCAACTGACAGTGCCCTACAACCCACAGCAGAATGGCGTGGCTGAGAGGTTCAACAGGACCCTGCAGGAGGGGGCACGCACTCTCCTTGGGCGTGCAGGGCTGCCTGATCCGTTTTGGGTGTCTGCACTGAGGCAGGTCGCCCTTGTGAAGAACAGGGTGCTGGCTACAGTTGGAGATAAGGAGTGGATCCCATACGTCAAGTGGTATGGGAGTGCTCCAGCTGTGAACATGCTGAGGGCATTTGGGTGCATGGTGGTGTTTCATGTGCCTAAGGAGAAAAGGGGGAAGTTGGAGGCTTCTGGAAGATGGGGTGTGCACTTGGGGATTGCAAAGGATCACAAGGGGTGGCTGCTATGGGACTTGACCACCCAGAAGTTGACAGTGTCAAGGGATGTGAAGTTTCTTGAGTCCCTGTACTACAAGGAATGGAAGCAGCAGCAACAGAAGCTTCCATCTACACCGCTCATTGTGGAGGCGGATGAGGTGCAGCGGCCTTCAAGACAGGTAGAGGTTGCAGTGTCAGAGGAGGAGATGTCTGGGGTGACTGAGGAAGGGGGAGCAGCTGAAGTAGAGCAGCAGCAGCAGCAGCATGAGTCTCCACCTCGAGTTCCACACCCGCCTGAGCGTCCTAGGAGGGATGTGCGCCCTCCAGTGAGGCTGACCTATGGGGGAAGAGGCAAGCCGAATGTGGTGCAGGCTGGGAGTGTGGTTGAGCAGATTGAGGAAGATGAGATCGCTCACTGCTACTGGGCACCAATCCCTGAGCCCAAGACTCGAGAAGAGGCCTTGAATGGACCAAATGGGGAGAAGTGGAAGGCGAGTGAGGATGAGGAGTTTGGGTCCCTGATTGAGAACGAGACATGGGACCTGTGTGACTTGCCTCCTGGAAAGAAGGCAATCACTTCCAAGATGATCTACAGGCACAAGTATGGACCTGAAGGGGAGCTGACCCGATACAAGTCTAGGCTTGTGGCAAGGGGGTTTCAGCAGACAAAAGGGAAGGACTATGATGAGGTGTTTGCTCCTGTGGGGAAAGGAACAACACTGAGGGTGCTGTTGGCGATAGCTGCACTCCTGGGATGGAAGATACGGCAGATGGACATTGTGACTGCCTTTCTGAATGGGATCATTCTGGAGGAGGTGTATATGAAGCAGCCAGAGGGGCTGGATGATGGGAGCGGCAGGGTCTGCAGGCTGAAGAAGGCCATCTATGGCCTTAAGCAGGCGCCTCGTGCATGGTATCACAAGTTGGAGGAGGCGCTGCTGGCTGGGGGTTTCAAGAAGAGTGAGTGTGACCCCAGCCTGTTCCTGCTGCAGGAGAAGGATGAAATCCTCATGCTCTTGGTGTACGTGGATGATATCCTTCTCTTTTCTGCATCAACTGCTTTGCTGGACAGCGCAGAGCAGATGCTAGAGATGCAGTTCAAGTGTTCCAAGATGGGTGAGGTGAAGTACTACTTGGGGATGCATGTGGAGAGAGATGTGGAGAAGGGTGTGCTGAGGTTGCACCAGAGGAAGTACTGTGAGGGGCTGGCTGAGAAGTATGGGCTGCAAGATGGGGGAAAGCCAGCAACACCACTACCTTCAGGGTTTACTGTGGAGCCATGTGCTGATGAGGAGGTAGTGGGTGAGAGTGACAGGAAGCTGTTTCATTCGATGGTTGGGTCGCTGAATTATGCTGCAAATCATACACGGCCTGACATTGCATTTTCTACATCACGGTTGGCTAGTGTGGTCTCACGCCCTAGTCATGAGCAGCTGGAAGCGGCCAAGAGGTTGGTCCGCTATGTGAGTGCTACGGCATCAGTGGGATTGGAGTACAGTGGAGTGAGGCAGCGGTTGCAGAGAGGTGCTGCAGATGTGAAGAGTGGTGAGATGCTCTTGAGTTGCTATACTGACGCTAGCTTCAACTCAGTGAAAGCGGATGGCACCAGCATTGGGGGTTATGTGTGCTTGCTAGGAGGTGGTGCTGTGAGCTGGCGCAGCAAGAAGCAGAATGAGGTGGGATTGTCCTCATGTGAGACTGAGTACATGGCCTTACACCATGGGGCCAAGGAAGTAGTGTGGCTAAGGCGTTTGTTGGAGGAGTTGGGAGTTGGTCAGGAGGAGCCGACAGTTGTGTTCTGTGACAATGAGTCTGCTGTGAAGCTCGCCAAGAATGCTTGTTTGCATGGGCTGACAAAACACATAAGGCCTAAGTGGCACTGGGTGAGGAGACTCCTTGATAAGGAGGTGCGGCTGGAGATAGTGAAGACCCATCAGCAGGCAGCAGATATTTTCACCAAGCGTCTGGCGGAGGCGGATCATTGGAAGGGCATGAAGCTTGCTGGGATGAGTGTGCATTGAGTATGCATGCTTGAGATGTTGGTATGGTGGTTGATGGTTGGCAGCCAGAGGGGGAGATTGTTGTGTGATGTCATCATATGTTATCACATTCTGTCTGCCTCCCATCCCTTGTTTCAATTCGCACGTATGGTTTGACTGTGTGTGAAAGAATTTGTGTGGTGTGTGTTCTGGAGTTTGGGAATGTGTTTTGTGTTATTCTGTCTGAGCAGGTATTTGTGATGATAGATCTTGAGAAGATCTTTCCGACGCAACAAGAATCGCGTCAATCGGAGCAAGAACGCGAAAGCTATGAAGATTCAAAGTTCATGAGCTTGCGTTACAATTGCGGCGGTTACAAAGTGAAGTTGTGGGGTGACTTTATATGGAGTTGGGACCTTTGGGGTTGGGGAAATTCGTCACTCTACTGTAACAGCTGCAAATTGGTTGGGAACAACCAAGCTAGGTTGGCAAGGGTGGCCAACTTGGATGGATTGGTTGGGAAGGGACAAATGTCAAAGTTGGGGTTCCTATAGGGAGGGAATCTTTGTGCTTATGGGGTTTCCTTGGTTGGGGACTCTCTTGGGACCTTCCCTCTCATCCCTCTCTTCTATCCCAACCTTTCTCTTGCTCCTCTAAATTCCTTGTGAGATTCTTGAACTTTGATTGAACTCTTGAGATTGAGTTAAGTTCTCCTCCTACAGCTTACCCCCTAGTGCGTCGAAAGCCATAGCGTCGCGAATACTTCATCAATCAACGTGATTCAAATTGGGAACGGTAGCTGAGATCAAGAGCTACAACATATCCAAGTTTCGCGACATTCCAACGGCTAGTGTTTTGTCGACGTCGTTTCTTGTGAAGACGACTTTTCTGTCCAGAATTTCGGATTTATATTTTGAGTAATTCTAGCTCCTAAGTTCACCTAGACTCTGTCCTTAATCCTAACACTTAATTCCAGATCGCTCTCATACCATGTAATAATTTGTAAAAAGGGTGCAGGAGACTAAGTAAAGAATATGCATACAAAAAGTATTTGAAGTAGAAAGAATACTGAAGTACCTCTAGTAATAGTCAGTATTAACAAGTTGTGGCACAAGAATTGATACTATAGCCTTGTGAGACTTCAGAACTTGAACAAGGACCTTTGCTGGAATAGTAGACTAGTAAGACAGCGGAAGTCTTAGAACTTGTGAGAAGTGTCCAGAATTTGCTTAAAGAACAAGATAATGATAAGAGAGAGATATTGTGACAGAAAGTATTGTCAGCATGTTTGTCACTTAGACAAATTTTGGAATATTAAGGGGTCATGCACATAAAGCCTTAATGAAGGTTGGGGTGTGGCTGTAGGCCCATGCCTTACAGCTCATGAAGATACTAATATTTACAGCAAATAGCACAAATTAACAATCTTGGTACATCCGGACAATTTGTGCCAAGTGCAAGCAGGAAGCTTCAACAACCCCAAACTAGTATCTAGTCCACTGCCCTTTCGTCTTAATCACCGCCCTCAATAGAGCATCTATGGGCTCATCCAACCAGATCACTCGCTTCCAGTCGTCAACCGTCCAGTCGGCATGGGCACGGGCCCATTCCAGCCTATCGCGTATGTTTTTCCGAGAGAGTCGCGGCTTCTTGGGCTGCTTGATTGCGACTTGTCCGCTGCCATTCAAAGCGTTATGCACCGTCCTAGGATGCAGCGTGATGCCGTGCTGCATCTCGACGATCTTCGCTGCGTGAGCGGAGATTTTTGCCTCTCCCCTGGAAATCGACCGAACTATGCCACGGCGAACTCTCTCTGTCACTAAGCGAGGGCGACTAGCTGAGGGCATTGTAGGACGCATGTCCTCGCGGCTAGACTCAGCAATTGCCTTGAGCCCATAATCATGGACCGTACTCTTCCCCACGCCCATACCCCTCACATTGCTGGAGGACAGGTGTACTACGCCGGCCTGGCGACGCTGCTGTAGCTCGAGTAGGAGGAAGTACAGCAGCTGGATGTGCATCACTCTGCCCTCTAGTCGAGGCTCCTGACATAGGAGGAGCATGCCCCTGTTGCCAGCGTACAGGACTAGGGCAGAGCTAGGCTGCTCACCTAGGTCTGTGAGCAAGAATGTTAGCCAACAGAGCTCTTGTGCACAGCTAGACTATGCAACACACGACAAACGGGTGGACCTCCACGAGATAGCGCTTGCACCAAGGCTAAAACAGTAGCCCTGGGAGGACTTGAGCATCCCAGCATCGTCCACCCATGAAGCGTCAGTATGCCCTGTGAGAACCACTGGCCTGTGTCCTCCTAGCACTAGCCCCATGCCATATGTACTAGCTAGATAACGCAACACCCTCTTAGCAACCGACCAGCGCTAGGGTCGGTGTCTGCCTGTCGCCACAAAGCGAGTGAGGATAGGAAGAGGGTATGCGAGAAATGTACGAGTGCAAGTCATCAGGTATATAAGGCAGCCCACAAGCTTTGGGTACTGACCTCTGGGCACAACTGGCTCATCAGGGACCGGAGCCAAGAGCCTGTCATCCATTGGCAGAGGGGTGGGCTGAGCGGATGAGAACTGAAGGCCGAACCTCTGAAGGACCTGGCGAACCAAGTGTAACTGTGTGAGAGTGATGGTGCACGATGCTCTGTCCCTGGAGATCTGTAAGCCAAGGTAGTGGCGCAGCTCTCCTAGGTCAATGCAGGTATGTCTCCTTAGCAGCACGGCCTTCACCGAGGCCAGCACGTCCCCGCCTGCAGTAGCGAAGACCAAGTCGTCTACGTAGACTAGGATGTAGAACAGAGTCCGGCCTGAGCGAACGAAGAGTGACGGGTCAGCAGAGGACGGAAAGAACTGAAAGTCTGCCACTCATGGGGCGCTGGAGGAACCACTCGGTCTCAGGGAGGAAAGTGCCAGAGAAGCCTGGCGGAGAGCGCAGGTAGATCTTCTCGTGCAGATTGCCCTGGAGAAACGCTGTGGAGAAGTCCAGTAAGTGAAGCTTGTAGTCGCGCTGTGCTGCTACGTAAGGCGGTGCCCGAAGAGTGGTCATCTTGGGTGTTGGGGCGAAGGTCTGAAAGTAGTCAATGCCCACGCGCTGACTGAAACCTCTAGCAACATAGAGCGCCTTGAACACCGGCGGCTCTCTAGGAGCGCGCTTCACCTTGAAGAGCCATTGGCCTTTGACAGCGTTCGCCCCAGGTAGGAGAACTACGTCGACGTATTTGCCGGTGGATTTCCAAGATGCGTCCATGGCAGCTATTGACCGAGAGGCCCAGGGTCCCGAAGTCAACTTAGCGTAAGTGCGAGGTGTCGGGATGTCAAGGGCGTCTAGGTCACCCTCAGGGGGTAGCAGCATGGAGCAGAGATGAGGAACGGCCTCGGACAGGAAAGCTACCCTGCCCTCTAGGACGTCACTGCGAAGGGAAGATGCACCCCTGACGGACAGTGGAATGGCAGGGTTAGAGGCCAGAGCAGTGGCGTAGTTGTCATACGTCCAGGATTTAGTGGAAGCTTGAATGATGCGAATCAAGGATTGAATGTCTACAAGCAAAGAGTCAATGCTGTTTATACCTACGAGAACTCTAGGGAAGGGTAACTAGGACCTTCTGAGAGAGATCTACAAATGAGTGGAAGCGTCCGTAGGAACACCACCTAGATGTTGGTGCAACCCTATGGCTTGCACTTGGCTTGTCGTCCTTGTTTGTGTGTGTGCATGCATGGCATGGAATGACTTGTGAGTCTATGTCATTGCTATCTAGTGCTTGTGTGTGTGTTTGAATGGTGTATCACCATGTGGTTTGTGTCGGTCAAGACATTAGCAAGTTTTTACAACTCGCATGTCAAGTCGTCGTTTGTGTCTCGCATGTGTTCTTTCTATTTTGTCGAGTGTGAAGTGTCCATCGCATCACAGGTGTGTGCAGCAAGCCCCCATCAACTCGAGAAGAATTTATCTTGCAGAACCAAGACCAAGAGCTCAAGATTTCAAGCCCAAGGGTCACGGATAAATATTAAATAGTGAAAATAGTAACGCTACTTCGTGTAGTGTTACATTTCACTTGGTGTAGCCCCTTGGAGGGTTTGTTTCGAGACTCTTCATGGTTGGGGACTATGTGGTGGTGTACCACCAACCTGGAACTTGGCTCTTGGGGTATGTAGAGGCTGGGAATCATCTCCATCTCAAACTCTTCTTGCTAAGTTTGTACTCCTAAGACTATAGTGGCTGCTGTACCTCCTGCCAGTCAAACTGCCATAGCGTCGTCAAATCTTTATGGAATTTTATTATTCAACTTGCTGCTGATAGGCGACAGCAATGCGCTCCGGATCCAATTTTACAGATCACCGTTTGAGGCACAGATCAGATCACCATCAAGGTTTGAAGTTGTCTGACGGAATTTTGACTGTCCTGAATTTCTCTCATTTTAGGCACAATAGGGATTCCAGAGACACGGTGACGGTGACGAAACACTTCACGCAATAGAGAACGTGTCACACAAGAAAAGTTCGAACATGCCGTAACGGATATGATATTTGTAAAATATATCAATGTGCAGGAAAGAGCGTTGGGATTTCCAGGAAAGGAAAAACACACAATAAATAGCAAATATGCAAATGGATGTGCTCAAGGATTCAGCATGCCTCATCCCCTCACACTTCCCCCCCTAAAAAATGAGTGGACGCTTAAAGCGCCCAGTTTTTCAACAAATACTGAGGGTTGTGAGGCTCCAAGTAGGCAGAGAAAATCAAGCCAACAAAGTAGTGCTTGAACAGCAGCTCCTCTATACTATATTCCACACACTCGTGAGCCTGTACAAGTGCAGGTAGTAGGTATCCCACAATGAAGTATTGGGGCACGTAACGCTCCAACCCAGGTTGCAGAGTAGCGTAGCGAATGATGATAAGTATGTGCCTAAGTTGCGGTTAGTAGAATTCAGCTACACTGTAGCATGCCGTAGCGATGATAACTGCTTCATGTGCTCAAGAAACCACCAAGCGTTCGAGGTTGACATACAGTAGCAGTCGTGTGCCGGTCCGTATAAGATAGTAACGTTGTAACTTCTGTGTGCCGTTGCAAAGAGATTTGTTGCCAGTGATTGTAGTAGGACGATGTCACCATGCTCATTGCTGGAGCATCAATCCATGGTCCTGGTCAAGGAGATATGGGGATCTCTGCGCTCAACCAATTTGACTCCTCTTCCATTCCTAGTAGATTGTTGGTGACGATGATAGTGGACTAGGTACTAGTTTCAACAACCCCTACTCTCAAAGCCACTCCTGCACGATACGCAACTTGTGCTTGGGGTCATTGTCGTGCTGGAAGATACCTTCCGAGGGTGAAAGCTGGTAAAACTCGATCGTACTATTGAGCTCGTTCAGCAGTATACTCAGATGGAGCAATCTGTCCATCCTACCATCCATCTTGCACATGAAAGCCACTCCCTCATACGACATGCAGCCCCAAATCATCAAGCAGCCGCCCCCGTGTTTGACGATCTGCTTGATTTGGTGGCTTTGGAGGGTAGTACCTTCGCGAACCCATGCGTATGAGCGTCCGTCAGAAGCAAAACGATTGTTCTTGGACTCATCCGACCAGATCACTCGCTTCCAGTTGTCAACCGTCCTATTGGCATGGGCACAGGCCCATTCCAGCCTATCGCGTATGTTTTTCCGAGAGAGTCGTGGCTTCTTGGGCTGCTTGATTGCGACAAATCCGCTGCCATTCAAAGCGCTACGCACCGTCCTAGGATGCAGCGTGATGACGTGCTGCATCTTGACGATCTTTGTCGCATGAGCGAAGGTTCTTGCCTCCCTGTTGGTAATCGACCGAACTATGCCGCGGCAAACTCTCTCTGTCACTAAGCGAGGGCGACCGGCTGAGGGCATCGTAGGAGGCACGTCATCGCGGCTAGACTCAATCGCCTTGATGCCATAATCATGGACCGTACTCTTCCCCACGCCTAGTTGTTTAGTGATTCGACGAGTGCTATACCACCTCCGCAACAGGGCAATGATCCGTGCGCATCAATCACCTTGATGCCATAATCATGGACCGTACTCTTCCCCACGCCTAGTTGTTTAGTGATTCGACGAGTGCTATACCCCCTCCGCAACAGGGCAGTGATCCGTGCGCGGCGCGGATCATCTAACAGTTTCATGATGGCCGAATCGTAGCAGCGGTCCTGGCCTATCTCCAGACTACTCGAAAGTCACGAGGGCAAGTAACTAGAATAAGGGAGGCTAGGATATAGATCTCGTACGCCGCTTGGCATGAACTGTCCGGATGCACCCACGCGAACCAAGTCTCGTCCCCGGTCAAAAATCGACCCCTACAAAAGTGAAACCCATACCCGTTACGCATACTACAGCACTACTTTACAGCTAAGGCCGAAATATGAATCGAAACTAGAAAAAAAAGGACCAAAACAGTACGAGAACATTTTTTAGGCAATTATCCAGGCAATGCTTTCCGTCACTGGTAGTTTTGCTTGCAGGGGTGCCGTTGGAGTAATGCGGATACCTCTATTCATAGGGCCTCGACGCTCCTTATCATGCCTGTCAGCTTCCATGGAGGTGTTGCTTCAGATGGATTGGTTGGTGACGTAGGTTTTATGACTCTGTTGAAGTCATTGCTCCATGAGCACTCCAAGATTGTCGTAGTCCTCCCATCCACATAAGAGTCCCTTTCTCTGAGCTCTTTAGGGCATGTGGAATAATCACTTTGGTCCAGGGCATAGCGGTATCCGCATCCACTAGCAGGAAACCGTAGATATAGTGCCACACCGGGTCTTGGGATCATGCTGGAATAAGATCGAGTGTCATCTCCATGGTTTGGCGGAATATCCATCAGGGTTGGGTGTTGTTGTAGTTGTCTGCTGTGACGGCGGCGGCAACGGTTGACACTCGCAGCGGAGGCTGCTGCAGAGGATGCTCATAACTCATAACGGTTCGAAGGAGAATCCATCCAATCCATCTTCCATATAGAGTCTTCCTAATGGGTGTAACAGTTGTAACTACGAGGAAACACGTGTGTCTTGATGTACAAGTGTCACTCCACTGCTGCCGATGTTTGGTTCGCTCGAGGGTATGAAGATTACTTGCTTCTCCACTTGTTATATCCTCGCGTAGCAACTGCCTGGTATGCTCATCCGTGCTCCCGATGTACGTTCGGTAGAGCGCGTAATTATCTTGTTGCAATCTGCATCTCCCTCATTTGTCAACATCATCATGTTGCTGCGCGTTCTCCTGCGTCGTCGAAGTTACGTCGAGGCCTGTAACGCTTCGGCTTCTAGTAGAATCGCCTCCAATACGTGTACCATAGGGCCTTAGGCTCAGGGCCTCCAGAGACAGCAGACTCCTCCGCTGGGCCAACCGAGGGAAGGGGGGTGATGTGAGACACACCAAACGGGGCAGGATTTAGGATTTAGGAGCGGACTCGAAGTTGAAGCATATGATTGTGTCAGAGAAGGATAACAAGAAGGTGGGCTTTTTTCTTTTCTTTTTGGGGGGGGGGAGTGGGTGGGGGGGAGAGGGGAAGAGCGAGAAAGGGGGAACAAGGGGACGAAGGAAAGGATTTGAATCTGAGGCACGTGATTGTATCAGAGAAGAACAATAAGGTGAGTTGAGCCTTGGGGCTAGGGGGGGGGAGAGACAGCAAGGGGACATGGGAAAGATTCGAAGCTCAAGCACGTGATTGTGTCAGAGAAGGATAATCAGAGCGTGAGTAAGGCGCGGGGAGGGGGGTTAAGTTGACGACAAAAGTGTAATTGGTGGGAGAAATGTGATGTGTTAATAAAGTCATAGATACAAGGATCATGGGCGTAGCACTCCTTAACCTATTTATTGCATGAATTTTTGAATGTTTTATGGTACTCGCCTCCCTCAATGCCACGCATTCTCCCATGGACGGATCAAGAAGTTTTTTTGTGCCCGAGCAGCCCAACATGTATCGAAACCACGCAGAGTATGCGCGCAGCATCCGCACCCCCATTGGCCGGGACTTCAACACCGAAGCAGCTTTCCGCTCCATGACTCGACCCGCGGTGAGTGTGGTTCCAGTTACAATTATGGATATTGTTACGTGGCTACCCGTGGCGATACTAGCCCGACGGGGCATTTGTGTTTATTGCACGTGTGTTGTGTGCTCGTGAATCTGGGCACATGTCTTGAAGCCAGTGGGGGCCGTCATTCAGCTTGTCTCATACGTCAAGACTGCAGGTGCCTCTGAAGAGGAACGTCCAAGAGAAGGGTCTTACTGTACTTCTCATACTTTATCGTCTCCGTGCCTATTGTGGGTATATGCTGCGCCTTTATTGTGTGGTTACCACAAGTCATGAAACCAGTGGGAGCCGTCATTTGCCCCATCCGATGCGTCAAGAATGCGGGGCCCTCTGAGGAGGAACATGCAAAGAATGCTGATGGCACAAAGAAAGGAGGGGAAAAGGGAAAGGGTAGTGGTGGTAAGCATGGGAACAAGCATGGCAACAAGCATGCTCAAGGGAAAGGAGGCGGTGGTGGGAAGGTAAAGGGAGCAGGATTGGCAAAGCATGAAAGTGGTAATGGGAAGGTTCAAAAGAAGTGGTGGCCCGTTCTTGGGTTACATTATGAGGTAATTTTTAGGCAGTCTATAAAATGCTATGTGTTATGTCTAGGATGTGCACTCTTTCTATAAATTTTCAATTTGTGATGCTCACCTTGGTAGTAAGGTCGAACGAATATTAGTAAAAATCGTGATCAATATTTGCCTGTTGCCCTACATTTCAGGGTGTCATGGTGTGGTGTGTCCGTGCGTGCTTTTTGTTGGTGTTTCTTTCATAACAACCTGCCAATTTCATTTTGTTCAAGTTCAACTATATTTACATTATAACTCCCGCTGTTTCTGTTTTCAGCCATCCAGTAATATCACATACAATGTAAGGAATTTTCCATTTCTAGCTAAGTGTTTTTGGGGGGGGGGGGAGGGGGGGATACTCGCGTGATCAGCTCAGCAAAGCTGCAAAGAGGTTGCCTGCGAATTGATTAATTGATTCGCTCAACTACGATATCGTTTGCACTTTTAACTGAGTTGGATAGTCATGGAAGTTCCCCTGCCCACCCGACGTTGTATTCGCATCATGGATCAAGCAAAAATCGATAAGCTAATGGCAAAGTTCGCGGCCACGGACGCTCGCCTGACAGCTGTACTCGAGGACAACGAACGACTTCAGACTGAAGTCGACGAGCTGCACCAGGCGCGAGGAGAACCCCACCAGAAGACTGCCGCCCAGGAGGAGGTCGCAAGCACTAGATGTGGCGAGATCGTTTTGGACGTACTCGCATGTGAGGTGTCAGAGGAATGCCGCTGAATCTTCTGCAACAATCTTCTGCAACAAAAGCACGAGCAGCAGCCGCACGAGCCGGGGCAGCCACTACAGTGACACCTGTATAAGTTGCCAGGATCAAGCCCCTGCTGCCGCCCCCGTACAGCCCCACAGACAAGAACACTACTGTTGCGAGTTGGCTTTTCTCTGTTGAAGGTTATTTTAATGCTCCAGGAATTACTACTGACGACTTAAAAACTAAGTTAGCGGTATCGCTACTGCGTGGACCGGCATTAGATTGGTGGCGATCTATACTCGAAGCGGATTCTTCTGCAGGGAGCACTTAGGGGTTATTTGGGACTTCCGAGACTGCTGACTGGGGGGCAACCTCAATATTTGGATCGACTGAGATTTGCACGTGGAAAGCATGGGGTACAGCTCTACGCGCACGCTTCGAGCCCATTTCCATCTCGGACAACGCGCATACGAAGCTAGACACCTGACGCTAAATGAGTTCTGACCAGGACTACACCTCATCTTTTCAAGCGAGGTGTGATCAGATCACGGATCTGAGCGATGCTGAGAAGCAGACCGGATACATCGCCGATTTGAAGGGAGACGTGTGCTACAAAGTTTGCATGCGCCGTCCAGCGACGTTCAGCGAAGCAGTTCAGCTCGCAAATCTGGACTATGCAAGTCGGACATATGCGAGAGCGGGCTCCTGGAAGGGAAATCGTTTTCGCGGATAGGATCATCGGCCCACAATCAATGATATAGTTGCGAGTGCAGACGACCTTCGCAACAGATACTGCTTCAACTGCCACCAACTGGGTCACATTGCTCGAGATTGCCCTGACCTGAAGCACCCATTCAACCACTCACCCATTCACCCATTCACCCACTCACCCACTCAGCATTGGACAGCACTGGCGACAACATTTGACAGCTACGATGTGCTGTTGGGACGAGTTTGGCTACGGCAATGTAATCCAAAAATTGACTGGACAACGGGCGAATGCAAAGTGAGCTGTGCGAACGGTTGGAGAAAATTACCTGTTTGGTGTGGAGTGGACCCAGTGATGACATGTGTGAACGCCATCACGCTAACACGCGAGGTCAAGAAAGGAGCCGAGCTCTTCGCTGTCCATCTACAAGAATCACGGACGACGACGGCCCAACCGACATCGAAAAAACTCTGCGCAGCAGTTCCCGAGGACTTGGCAAAAATCATCAAACAGTACCCGGAGATATTTCCCGACGATCTGCCAAGTGGCCTGCCTTCGAACGCCCACAGGACCATCGGATCGCGCTGGAGCTCGGCGCGCAACCTACTGTACGAAGTCAATGGAGGCTGACTCAGCCCGAACTCCAAGAACTCAGAAACCAGTTGGGTTACCTCCTGGCCAAAGTGTTCGTTCGGCCAAGTACGTCCCCGTTCGCAGCGCCGATCCTGTTCACTCCAAAACAAGATGGCGGACTTTGCATGTGCATTGACTACCGTGCACTGAATAGGGTTACCATCAAATCACGATATTCGATCCCTCGCGCTGATGAGCTGATTGACCAACTTCGCGGAGCTTGCTATTTCTCCAAGATCGACCTTCGTGGTGGTTACCATCAGATTCGTGTCTTTGTTGGCGACTGCCACAAAACTGTGTTCCGTACTCGCTACGGGAGTTACGAATACACAGTCATGCCATTCGGATTAACGAATGCCCCCTCAATGTTCCGGTTAACTATGAATGGGATATTCCGCAATCTACTCGACAAATGTGTCATCATTTACCTGGATGACATTCTGATCTGCAGCAAAACAAAGGAGCAGCACTTAGCGGAACTTGAAGCGTTTTTTCAGCGGCTACAGCAGAACCGCCTCATTACGAAGGGCTCCAAGTGCGAGTTTTTTAAGGCTAAACAGGAGTTCTAAGGACACATTTTCTCTACGAAAGGCATCAAAATAGACCCAAAAAGAATCTGCATCAAAGGAATGGAAGCCGCCAAAAAATCTGCAGGAACTGCAATCTTTTCTGGGGTTCGTCAGTTATGTGCGACGCTTTATCCCTAACATGGCAGGGTTAACCGGACCACTAACCGACCTACTGTATAAGGGAGCTGATTACGTATGGGGGGAGAAGCAGCAAGCTGCGCTTGACGCGTTAAAACATTTTTTTACGTCGCCACCGGTACCACACATAGCTTACCAAAAACGACCGTTCGAGGTTGTAACTGATGCAAGTGACATCCCCATTGGAGCATTACTGTTACAAGATTTCGACGATGGCCTCCAACCAAACACGTACGAGTCGCGAAAGTTACAATCCGCCGAGAGAAATTATCCCGTACACGACAAAGAAATGTTGGCGATCGTGCACGCGTTCAAAGTCTGGCAATGCTACCTGACAGGAGCGGACGTGATAATCAGGACAGACCGTAAATCACTACAGTACCTGAGGGCGGAATTTCAACCCGCGGCAGATTCGCTGGTTGGATTATCTGGAGTCGAATTTCACGTACCGGATCACGTACAACAATATTGCCAACAATATTGCCAACGCCCTCTCCAGACCATCTGCCCAGACAGCTGCTGGCGGCTGGTGACTAGTGCTGGCGGCTGGTGGCCAGCTGCTGGAGGCCGAAGCTGACGGTGGGCAGCAGCAGTGGCGACAGGAGTAGCAGCGGTGGCTGCAGAGGCAGCGGCGGCTGTAGCGGCAGTGGCGGCAGCGGCTGCAGCGGTTGGAGCAGTGGCTACGGTAGTGGCGGCAGCAACGACAGTGGGCGGCAGTTGGCAGCAGTGGGGGCGGCAGCGGGCAGTAGTAGCTGCGGTAGTGGAAGTGGGTGGCAGCAGCCGGCGCTGGCTGCTGGCTGTTGGCAGTGGGCTGTTGGCGGCTGGCGCTGGCTGTTGGTTGCTGGCGCTGGTGGCGCTGGTGAGCCAGCAAGCTGGCTGCTGGCGGCTTGCGCTGGCTGCTGGCGTTGCTGGCTGTTGGCACTGCTGGCTGCTGGCTGCTGGCGCTGGCTGGCGCTGGCAAGCTAGGTGGTGCTGGCTGCTGGCGTTGGCAAGCTGGCGCTGGCTGCTGGCTGCTGGCGCTGGTGGTGCTGGTGAGCTATTGAGCTGGCTGCTGGTGCTGGCTACTGGCGCTGGTGGAAAGCAGGCAAGCAGTTGAGCTGGTGAGCGGTTGAGCGGGAAAGCAGGCGGTCAGGCAAGCTAGCAAGTAGACGCGTTGGCGAGCAGGCGAGCTGGCGAGCAGGCCCGCTGGCAAGCAGGTGGGCTGGCAGGCTGGCGAGCAGGTGAGCAGGCAGGCTGGCAAGTAGGCAGTCTGGCGGGCAGGCGAACAAGCGAGCAAGCAAGCGGGTGAGCAGGCGAGCGTGCAAGCTGGCTAGCAAGAGGGCTGACGGGGTGGCGAGGGTGCGAGCTGGCAAGCATGCGGGCTGGCGAGCACGCGAGCAGGCGGGCTGGCAAGCAGGCGGGGCGAGCGTGTGAGGTGTCAAGCAGGTAGGCAGGTGGGCTGGCGAGCAGGCAGGCTGGCGGGCAGGCGAGCAGGCGGGCGCGCAAGCAGGCGAGCATGCGAGCTGGAGAGCAGGCAGGCTGGCGGGCTGGCGAGCAGGCGAGCAGGCGCCGGGCTGGTGCGAGCTGGCGTAGGCTAGGAACGAGTGGTGGGAGGTGGGACGTCTACAAACTAAGGCGCTGGCAGGCGCGGGCCAGTGGCGGCTGTCGTAAGTTGTGCGACGAAGAGGAGAGGGTGGGGAAGGGACAAGCTACTAGGCGCGCAATTAAGGCCGAGGCGCGCTAGGCTCGGTTGTGCAAGGGCAGAAGCGTGAGTAGAGGGCGAGACCTAGCTCAAGATTGCCATGTTACATTGTTGAGAGAATGATGGGGCTAAGGGAAAACAACGAGGGCTACAAAGGTAGGACTGTCTCTCAGAACAGCAGACTGAACTAGAAGACAGAGTACATGGTGGTTTTGACCTGAAATGTTGTACTTGCTAAGGCATGACCCCATCTAGTCTATAGCAACATATACAAATATGTTTGACACACCCCCTAGACTGGACTAGGGGCAGTGCCTGGCAAGAGACAACCAATTCAGGGCAACACTACTAGTCCAACATCTGAGACAAGGGTGCGAAGACCTGTCAACAAGACTACAAACTCGATAAGAGCAAGCCAGGGCGGCACTACTAGTCTGACCATTGGAACAGCAGCCACAAGGCCAGTCAAGAAGGAATATATATAAGACGAGTACACAATCAAGGTCCTAGCAGGTGAGGAGCTACAGGAACAAGACCAAGCTGCAAACAGTGCCACTGATGATCTTTAGGCGCAAGCGCCTTAGTAAAGATATCAGCTGTGTTGGCACTGGAGGCAAAGTGTACTACGCAGGCCTGGCGGCACTACTGTAGCTCGCACAGGAGGAGGTACCGCAGCTGGATGTGCTTCTCTCTGCCCTTGAATCGAGGCTCCTGACACAAGAGGATCATGGCCTTGTTATCAGTGTACAAGACCGGGGCTGTGAGAGTACGACCCCGTTACACCACTTGTCCCTTTTCTTATTTCCTTCCTAGTTCATTTCTCTCATCTCATTTGGTTTCCTATTCTCCCTTTTTCCTTAACCTTTGGTTTATCCTGCTATTGTAATTATATCACCGACCAGGCTTGGGATGTACTGGCGCGCTATCTGGCGTAATCCTGCCGTAATCCCTTAAAGCCAATAGCCTCGCGTGGCTATACGCAGGGTGATTCTATCTTCTAGAAGGGTCTATTCCCTTAGGATAAGATAAACCTGGTTACCTGATGTACTTTGGAAGTATAAAAGCGCCTTGTACTGATCGATAGTGGAACCTTTCCTCGACACATTCGATCCTGTAACACTTGGTAATCAGAGCTTTTCTCACTCGACCGCGCTCAGCTAAGCAGCAGCAGCGGGGATCCTGCCTCGAAAAACCGCCGGGGGCGACCAATTCGACGCCGATTCTGGTAAGCACCAGCTCCGCGATTTTCGAATTACCCCCTCCGTGCGTGTTTTGAACAGGATGGCAACCTTCGACAACGCCGAGGTTACCCAGCAGCTCTTCGCACGCATCGCAGCCCTTCAGGAGGAAATGCGAGCGGATCGCGAAGCGTGGCGAAACCAGTTCGAGCGAGTAACTCGACTCACCGGAGCGCAGCACGAGACGACAACGGCGACGACGCAGCAGTCGCAGCAGTTTCTCGAGGCTCCGAAACCGCGCCCACCTGAGCCGTTCGATCCGAGCGATCGAAACTCCGACGCCCGCAAATGGATCGCCGGCATGGAGATCTACTTCGCAGCCGTCGGATGGAGCTCGCCAGTCTGGGACGGTCAACGTGTACGACTCGCGGCGACACTGATGCGAGGGCCGGCACTCGAGTGGATTGGCGGCAACAGTACTTTCATCCACGGTGAAGCCACGTGGCAGCAGTTCCGCGCCGACCTGCTGAAACGCTTCGAACCGATAAATTCGAGTTTCCTTGCCCGGGAAAAAATTCATCGACACCGACAGTTCGGGAGTGTAGCGCAGTACACGCAGCAAATGGAGGGATTTTATAACCGCATTCCCGACCTGACCGAAGGGGAAAAAGTACAATCATACCTCGCCGGGCTGAAGACCGAAGTCAAACGACAAGTCGCTGCGTCAAACTACGCGAGCTACAGTGACGTCGTTTCGGCAGCGGAGCGCTTCGACATGGTCAACGCCGGAACACGACGGACGCACGTCGGCAGTACGCGACAGGGCAACCGCTCGGCTCACCCCACGTTCGCCGACCCGATGGAAGTCGACAGATTCGAGGGGCGGCCACGTCCGAAAAACACCAACTACACGTGTGATTTTTGCGGGGTGCCGGGCCACCGAATCTTCGACTGCAACAAAATGAAGGCCGCACGCGCAGAGTATCGGGCACGCAACAGTGGCGGAAATCTTTCGGCCAATCAGAAGACAAAAAACGGGAGTCGCCAGTGATTGCGGATCTAGCTGGCGAAAATAAAAAGATCCGAAAGCGGCCGCGGGATTCCGGGAAAATCAACTTCGACGAAGCTGATTCGACGCGAGAAGGAGGAAATGATGGGGGAAAATCTCCACCCCACGACCAGTCCTCGCCAGGGAAAATCGCCGAGGAAAATTACGACTCCGCGAAAAAAGACTCTGCCGAGACAGGGAAACTCCGTGAAGACCCTAGAAATTATAAGAATTCGTTAAAGTTATCTTATAAAGATGCTTTAATGAAAACTTATGATGTCCGAGGGGGTAGAGCCTTGGAGAAATTTCAGGAGGGACTCCAAAAGAAGCAGACAGCTGTGGAGATTATACCGGTACCGGACAACCTGGGGACCAAATTAAGGAGTGTGGAAAGAAGCCGACCTTTCCACGGAGTCAACGTCCTCTCCCGACACCAGCCCACAACGACTACCCGCTCCCCAGGGAAGACGTCGGTGGAGCTGAAGCACCTCAAGAGGAAGCTGGGGGTCTACAAGAAGCTGCACAAACCCCGAACTCCTCCTACGGATGCATCCAATTCTTCGGCATCAGTGACGCGCACAGTCGTCAAGGAAACTCCGGGCCCTGGAGAAGAGCCGTTCTCCAAGCAGCCTCGGCCAGCTGCCAGCTTAGGAGTAGACAGCAACACAAAGGTGTGTACGGAGTATTGGGATGTACCCTATGACCCAATCAATGAAACTATCTTTGGGTACTTCGAGCAACGACTGCCCCTCGTGCTCGAGGTCATCTGCAAAGGACGACGCCTCCAAGCACTCGTGGACAGCGGAGCGTCACACACCGTCTGCGACAAGGCAGTGATCGACCGACTTCGGGAAGAGTACAAGCCTTCAGGATTCTCTGCAACAATGGTGGACGGCAGCAAGTTATCAGTACACGGCGAAGCAGTGCTACACCTACAAATTGGACCACTGTGCTGGAGACCTGCACTCCCCATCACCAACATCAAAGGGCTTGACTTGATCTTCGCGCGAGACTTCCTGAAAAGATTCAACCCCGAGATCAACTGGGTGAACCGCCGCAAGCATCTACAACAATGGACGGAGAGTACAGCTACCCAACTGGGACGATACAGGAGATATCCCAGTAGAGACACTCGCACGATTCGAGAAGGACGTAAAGCGGACCGACACCGGGTTCCTGGCGATAGCAACAGAGGTGGAGAATGACGGAGAGAAAGCCTCGGAACCTCCAGAAAAAATCAAGGAATTATTGAAGGAGTTCCAAGACATTCTTCCTGACGATCTTTCGAACGAGCTACCGCCATACCGAACGCATCAACACGAGATCGTGGAGGAACCGGGATCGAAGCCGACCTTCCGAGCACCATACCGGCTCAGCCCTACGGAGCTGACTGACATGAAAAAACAGATCGAGTATCTCCTAGCCAAAGGACTCATCCGGCCATCCACTTCGCCATACGGTGCCCCAGTACTCTTCACCCCGAAACCGGACGGAAGCCTGCGCATGTGCATCGACTATCGAGCTCTTAACAAGCAGACCATCAAGAATAAATATCCGATACCGCGAATCGATGACCTGCTTGACCAGCTTCGGGGAGCTACGGTATTTTCCAAACTGGATCTGCGGTCCGGATACTGGCAGATACGGATGGCGGACAACTCTATCCACAAAACTGCTTTTCGAACTCGGTACGGATCGTACGAGTATTTGGTAATGCCGTTCGGACTCACCAACGCGCCGGCAAAGTTCCAAGCCGAAATGAACCACATTCTACGACCACTTCTGGATGAATGCGTGGTGGTGTACCTGGACGACATCCTCATCTACTCGCGCGACATGAAGCAGCACGTCGAACACCTGCGACGCGTCTTCGAAATTCTTCGACGGGAACGTTTTTACGTCAAACTGTCCAAGAGCGAATTCGCCCTTGAAAAAGTCCAGTTCCTAGGACACATGGTGAGCGCTCGAGGAGTTCACGTGGACCCCAAGAAAATCGAGGCCGTACGCACGTGGAAGACGCCCGAGAACGTGAAGGAGTTGCAGCAGTTCCTAGGCTTCGCTAATTACTACAACAGGTTCGTGCCACAGTATGCGAAACTCGCGGCACCACTCACGAATCTGCTGAAGAAGAACACGCCCTACAAATGGGAGACGAAGCACTAGGAAGCCATGGAGCAGCTGAAACAAGCACTGACATCCGCACCGGTGCTCATCTTGCCAGATCCCGAACGTGACTACGTCATTGAAGCAGACGCCAGTGATCAGGCCGTGGGAGCAGTCTTGATGCAAGACCAGGGGAATGGACTGCAACCAATTGCCTACCTCAGCAAGAAACTGCACGGGGCAGAACTCAACTACCCGATACACGACAAAGAGGCCCTTGCTATTGTCATCGCCTTCAAAGCATGGAGATGTTATCTCGAAGGACGTCAAACAACAGTCTACACCGACCACTGCAGTCTGAAATATCTGAAGACACAACCAACCCTTTCCAGGCGGCAGGTCCGGTGGATTGACTTCCTCGAGACACACTTCCACTACGACATCGTGTACAAGCCGGCCACAAAAACAAAGCAGACGCCCTCAGCCGGCCTGCACACGTTGCCGCTATCCAGGCCGAAGGGATGAATCCACTACTCAAGGGACTCTTCGCACACGGGTACGCCACCGACCCCGAAATTCCCTTGGCAGAAAAGCGACATCTGCTTCAGTGGGACAGTGACATCGCGTACCGGAAGGGCTCAACAAAAATCTGGGTACCCAATTACCCTTCTTTGCGCCAGTTACTACTCAAAGAATACCACGACGTCCTGTACGCCGGACACTTCCGTAGCAACAAGACGCTCACCGGTATCGCCAAACACTACTACTGGCCCCACATGGCAGACGACGTCCAGAAATTCGTCACCTCGTGTGATACATGTCAGCGGATAAAGAGCAGCAAGCAGAAAAAGGCGGGACTACTGCAACCTCTTCCTGTCCCAGAATAGCCATGGCAAGTGGTTAGCCTAGACTTCATCACCGGGTTACCACCTACCTCCAGCGGTCATAACGCCATCCTTGTCGTCATTGACAAGTTCTCCAAAATGGGACACTTCATCCCGACACACACGACGGCACGCACCGAGGAGACAGCACAGCTCTTCGTTCGTCATATCATCTCACAGCATGGCATCCCAACCACACTCATTTCCGACCGAGACCCCAAGTTCACCAGCAAGTTCTGGAAGGAACTCATGTCTCTACTCGGCACCAAACTCGCCATGGCATCCGCATACCATCCGCAGACAGACGGGCAGACCGAGCGCCTCAACCAAATTGTTGAGCAACTCCTCCGAGCAGCCTGCAAGGACGACATCTCCAAATGGGACTTGCACCTGCCCGTACTAGAGTTTGCTTACAACAATGCTACGCATGCCGCTACTGGACAGACGCCGTTCTTCCTCTGCTACGGACGCCACCCACTCACACCACAGAAACCGACAACATCCGCTACGGTACAACCTGCACATGATTTCATCACAACCATGCATCAGCTTTGGGATCGGACCCATAAGCGCCTCCTCGACATTCAACAGCAACAAAAGCGCCAGGCCGATCGCCATCGCAACGACCACACCATCACGGTGGGAGACCAGGTGCTTCTTGACACCCGCAACCTGGACATCAGCCACCTCCCATCTAAACTTCGACCTCGCTTCTGCGGGCCTTTTCTCGTTGAAGCACAGGTCACTCCTGTTACCTTCCGCTTACGCCTGCCAGCTACCTGGAAGATTCACAACGCCTTCCATGTCCAGCTTCTGAAGCCCTACCGGGATCCGAACACGATCTTCGTCGGACGCCAACCGCCGCCGCCGCCACCCGTCCTCGTCCACACTGAACCCGAGTACGAGGTCGAGTCCGTGCTAGCACACCGCCGACGTCGGAATGGCACCGTGGAGCTTCTCATCCGTTGGAAGGGTTATGATCCTTCTGAGGACAGCTGGGTCCCTGAGTCCGACATGGGTAACCACCCAGCTTTGAGGGGGGGAAGTGTGAGAGTACGACCCCGTTACACCACTTGTCCCTTTTCTTATTTCCTTTCTCGTTCATTTCTCTCATCTCATTTGGTTTCCTATTCTCCCTTTTTCCTTAACCTTTGGTTTATCCTGCTATTGTAATTATATCACCGACCAGGCTTGGGATGTACTGGTGCGCTATCTGGCGTAATCCTGCCGTAATCCCTTAAAGCCAATAGCCTCGCGTGGCTATACGCAGGGTGATTCTATCTTCTAGAAGGGTCTATTCCCTTAGGATAAGATAAACCTGGTTACCTGATGTACTTTGGAAGTATAAAAGCGCCTTGTACTGATCGATAGTGGAACCTTTCCTCGACACATTTGATCCTGTGACAGGGGCAGAGCTGGGCCGCTCACCTAAGTCGGTGAACAAGAAGGTCAGCCAGCGGAGCTCTTGTGCCGCCATGGCACCGGCATAGATCTCAGCCTCAAAGCTAGACTGGGCAACAGACAAGGAGCACATGGACCTCCACAAGATGGCACTTGAACCAAGGCTAAAGTATTAGTCCTGGGAGGACCTGAGTGTCTCTCCGTCATTTGCCTAAGAAGCGTCTGTGTCCCCAGTAAGGACCACTGGGCTATGTCCTCCCAGCACAAGTCCCATGCCTGATGTAACGCAAAATCCTCTTAGCGGCAGACCAGTGCTGTGGCCGGTGTCTGCCTGATGCCACAAAGCGAGCCAGGATACTGAGAGGGTATGCAAGATCTGGACGAGTGCAACTCATCAGGAAAATGAGGCAACCCACCAGCTCTACGTAAGGACCACTGGGCTCTACTGACTCCTCTAGAACTGGAGCAGAGAGCCTGTGGTCAACTGGCAGAGGTGTGGGCTGTGCGGAGGAGAACTGAAGACCGAACCTCTGAAGGACATGGTGCACCAAGTGCGACTTTGTGAGAGTGATGGTGCGCGCTGCTCTGTCCCAGGAGATCTGCATGCCAAGGTAGTGGTGCATCTCTTCTAGGTCAGTACAAGTGTGTCTCCTCAACAACTCAGCCTTCACGGAGGCTAGAGCGTGGCTGTCTGCAGTAGCGAAGACCAGGTCGTCTACGTAGACAAGGATGTAGAACGGGGTCTGGTCAGCACGAATGAAGAGGGAGGGGAGTGCAGACAACAGGAAGAATTGCAGGTCAGCTTGCGTAGCATGCAAAGTATCGTGCCACTCACGAAGCACCTGTCGCAGGCCGTAGACCGGGCGCCGGAGGAGCAACTGGGTCCCAGGAGGGAAGGTACGGGTGAAGCCCTGTGGACGGCGGAGGTAAACCTGCTCGTGTAGGCTGCCCTGGAGAACCGCTGTGGAGAAGTCGTGGGAGTGTAGCTCATAGTCACGATGTGCCACTACATGTAGCAGCACCCGAAGAGTAGTCATCTTTGGGGTCGGGGTGAAGGTCTGAAAGAAGTCCACACCCTTGCGCTGACTTAAGCCTCTAGCCATGTAGCGCACTTTGAACACATGCGGCTCTCCAAGGGGGCGCTTCACCTTGAAGAGCCACCGGCCATCAACTACGATCACCCCGGGTGGGGAACTGCGTCAATGTAGGTGCCAGTGGATCTCCAAGATGCCATCTCCTGCTCCATGGCAGCTATCCACTGAGAGGCCCAGGGTCCCGAGGCGTAAGTGCGAGGGATCGGGATGTCAAGGGTGTCCAGGTCACCCTCAAGGACTAGTAGCATGGAACAGATATGGGGAGCAGCCTCAGACAGGAAAGCAAGCTCTGACTGCCCTTCCCCTAGGACGTCAGTGCCAAGGGCAGGAGCACCCCTGACGGACGGAGGGCAAGCAGGGCCAGAGAACAGAGCTGTGGAGTAGTCAACGCGGCAAGTAGAAGCAAAGTCAGCGACAGCAGCGACAAGAGCATCAAGAATGGAGACTGGAACAAACGGGTCAATAAGAAGGGAGGCAAGGACCCGAGGAACGAGAGGACAAACTGCACGAATGTAGTCAGACAGAGGAGGCGGAGCGACAACGAGCGACGACGGAGGAGGCAAGGGGAGGAGGGGAGGACGAGACATGTGGGAACGGAGCAACATGGGGTGAGAGCGCGGGACAGGAGATACAGGATGAGCACGAGAGGGACGGCGAGACCAGAAGTGGGATGGAGGCGTCGGGTCAGGAGACACAGGAGGAGTCACAGGAGGGGAACGAGGGGGGAAGCGAGCGAGAGACAAGTCCGGCGGAGGAAAGACACGGCCGTAGACAAGAAGGGAAGGAGGCGGCAGGGAAGGCGCAGGCGAGCGGGGCAGGAGAGGGAAGGCCGACCAGGCGAAGGGCGGACACCGTCGGCGACTGCTGCGGCTACTGCTCCATGCCGACACCAAAAACCGTCCGCTGCACCATGGCTACCTCCGGAATGCTCCAATCCAGCACCCCTTGAACGAGAACCGGCGCCATCCTCGAGACCGCCGGGATAAGCCATCACAGGAACCCTAGGACTAGCACCCCCAGAACCAGCACCCCCAGAACGAGAACCCTCGCCAGCACTGGTGCCACCCCCAGGACCGTCGTGACAATCCACGACAGGAATCCGAGGACTAGCACCCTCCTCAACTCCCGCACCCCAGAGACCCTGAACGGCTGCTGCTGCGACGGCGGCTGCTGCTGCGGCTGCGACAACGGCTCCGGCTGCTGCTTTGGCAGCGACGGCAGCGGCTGCTGCGACGGAAGAGAAGGAGACACCAGGGGAGAAACAGGCGGCGAGAACTGCGACGCAGGGCCTCCAGAGTCAGCCGACTCCTCGACTCGGACTACCGACAGGAGGGGAGTTACGTGAGACACACCACTACCAGGGGGGGAGCAGGACGGGGAAGGAGGGGAGCAGGGGCTATCGGGGGAGGGGGGAACCAGAAACAGGGTCTGGGAATTTTGGAGACCTCGGTGGGGAAAGCGGTGGCAATAGGAGACAGACTCTTCGAAAGTGACGTCATGGGAGTGAAAGAAACGGTGAGACGATGGGTGGTAGAAGTGCCAGTCCGACGAGTCAAGGGGAAACCGAGGAAGACACAGGGGACAGTGCGGGCAGTGAGCTTGTCCGTGCAAGAGGCATGAACGTGAGCAAGGCAGCCCCAGACGTGAAACGCAGACACGTCACCAGGGAACCCAGTCCAAAGAAAGGTGCTGAAACCTGCGGCCGCTTGGAGTGCGGCCACAGGTTAAGCTGGTGAGCGGCGTAGCGAACGGCGAACGGCCACAGAATATGGGGTTCATCGGCATGAATCAAGGAGATACGAGCCGCCTCCATGACCAAACCGATGCGGCGCTCAGCAACCCCATTCTGCTGTGGCGAGTCCGGCAGAGTGTACGACTGGGTGATGCCCTCTGCACGACAGAACTGTCCAAGCCGACCAGAGGCAAACTCGCCACCATGGTCGGAGTGGAGACACAGCACAGTGAGGCCGCAGTGGAGGCGCATAGCTACGACCCATGGGATAAGAGCATCAGGCGCGTCGGCCTTCCGCTCCAGGGGAAACACCATGGTGTAGTGCGTGGAGTCGTTGACGAGCACAAGAAAATAGCGCTCGCGCCTCGGCCCAGGGACGGGAGCAGGGCCCCAGACGTCCAGGCGCAGGGTCTGGTAGGACGAAGCAAGGAGGAGTGAGGGGCACGGAGCAGCCGGCCCTCGACGCAGGGAGTTCACGGCGGCGCAGGCGAGGGAGGGAGGGCATGGAGCGACGCAAGGAGACCTAGGACGAGATCGTGCCGAGACATGTGACGCAGACGCGAGAGTGCGGGGTGACTTAGGCGGTGGTGGAGTGAGCTACCGACACAAGCAAGCCGCAGTGACCTGGGTAGGTGCAGGAACTGGGAGGGTAGTGCCCACTGAGGGGGGAGTAGTGTCCAGCGTAAACAGGCCAGACACCAGGTCCCGGGGGAACGTCGCAAGGGGGCACCGGACGCGGCCTCGGTACAGACAGCGTTCCGCTCGTGACCAGGGAACGTAGTGGTGACGCTGAGGTCCTAAAGACAGCCGACACCAACTAGGTTTCAGGAGAAGAA